ACATATTAATGCTACATCTTGTAGCTCTTAGTAGTCCCTTCAGAAGTTGTCTGGCAATCAGCCGAATAACTAAAGTGTCTTATATCTTTATTAGTCCAAAATTGGTGCAGGTCTTAACAAAAACTGTTAACCATAAAAAGACTGAGTCATCTAGAGGAGTGATTGTTAGTTGCCCACATTTCTGTGCTTATGTCCTTTGTCATGACCATGTCCCTTAGTTTTCTGTGGCAGTTTGAAAATCCAGCTAGGGTTAGTGTATGGCTCCTCTGCAGGAGGAAATCTATGAAGGTCACAGCACATTGCCAGAAATGTCTCACTCTGGGTTTCCACACTTCCATACATTGGGGTATTTTTTTGTTAAAAGAGAATCCTGTCCTGTGCCCTCCGTGCCCTTGATATTAGCCATTTGGGTAACCTCTTTCTGCCTGACATCATGTGGTGGTTATTTTCCATAGAAGTAGCTCCCAGGCAGGGAAGAATATAAGCACCAGATCCAAAATTTTCAGATTGGAGTAACACCACATGCACTTAAAATTAAGCATGTGCTGACTTAAGTTTTCTGGATTGTGTCCAAACTGCAGAACCTAGTTATTTGCTGTAGCTTTTGTCATGAGTAGGACTTCAGACACCTACAAGATGAACACTAAACCTCATAACTCATGCAGTATCATTGCTTGATGTGCGGCACTGAGCCTGAGTGTAGAGAGAGCATTTCAAGGTCAATGTCCAGACTACTGGCATGTTTATTAATGTGTTTTAATAAGCTACATCTGTTTCTCAACTCTTCTGTCAGAAAAACCCACTAGCCATTGTTTCCTGCTGTAATACTCATAAGCAGTGAAGCTCACAAGTCCAGGTGTCCTTGATAATAGAATACAGTTAAGCAGTTACAAAGTGTGAGTATATATATATTTATATATAGATAGATATTCTTAATTAGCCACGTAACTATAATCCACACCTGGAGTTGTATTTTAGACTGAGTACCTCCTAAATGCAGAGCCACTTGGTGCCCTGTTAAGCTTAATCGAGGAGATCACTCTCCTCCCCCCCCTCACATAAAATACGAGTACCTTGACCCTACCTCTCTTAGGACTTACTTCAGGTCTGATCACAAGGCTTCAGGATGCATATAATTCAAAACACATCAGCTCCTGTTGTAAACTGTGACAAATGTGAATGAGTGGTTCACCTTATGACTTATAATTTCTTACTAGGATGTGGAGGGGGTGGAGCAGTGCTGCCAAGGACTGAAGTCAGGGCCAGCTGCTCAGTTGACTGATCTTCTCTTTTCTGTTTGATACTTCCAGAGTTTGGCTTTGCCTTGCTACATACCTTTTGTTATTCTACTCATAGCGGATAGTGTTTGTCACTGATACTTACTTTACTTTATGCACCCACTGATTATTATTACAGTGCTGCTGTATCGAGACCTTATTCTCCCTTCACACTTTAGCTAAGACAAAAACAGTTACTCCACATAGAGTACCCAAATGATGTATAGATGTAAATGTAGCAACACATGGATATTAAAGCATTCCCCCACAGCTTCATTGTGCTCCTGGGAGAAGAGTTAGTTGGAAAGCATCCAGTTGTACCCTGAACGTTATTTGAACGAGGATTGGAGTTCCCAGAGACTTGACACTAACAGAATTGCTTTCTAACTTTTTTAATGAGGGAGAATTCCTTTCTCAACTCTGGTGTAAAGAAATAACAGCTGCAGTGAGTGCTCTGTAGGGTAATGGTTAGAGCAGGGGTCTGAGAATGAGGTGTGGCCCCATTAAGGTTAAGGGACATGTATTATTTTCAGGATTTCACCCCCAAGTCTTGTGCAAGCTCTGGTGGAAAGTGGCCAAGTCCCAGATTTCCTGAATTTTGGAGCTTTTCCCTTTGAAAACTCAGGGCGGGGAAATAAATAGCTGGTTTGTACAACACTTGGAGATTGCTAAAATGGGAATGCTAGATGTAAGCAAACTGCTGTCCTTTGTGATCTGCCTTTAGTTGCAGTCATGGTTTCAGTAGATTCCTCCAGCATAAGCTTAGGTTTCTAGCATCGATTGGGATGCTCTGCAGATAATTGTCTAGCAGGTGGCAAAGTCGGAACTAATCCATCACTTGGTTAAATTCCACCGAGTCCAAATAATCCTGTTAGTAGCTGTTTTGCCCTTTCAGCAGTCACTTTAATTAATATTCAGGGCTGTGCAGGCAGTCAGGTTTCTGCCCTGCCGAAG